CCACCTGATGTCCAGAGTTCTACCAGAGTACCGCCCTACTACAACAGTCTTTTGGACCCTTGTTTACTGCCGACTATGGTCCTTCCGACCTCCGTCGCCTACTACGATCCTTCCGACCTACATCGCCAGACAACGGTCTTTCTGACCCCAGTCTCCTGCCAACTACGGTCTTTCGGACCCCTGTCTCCTGCCGACTACGGTCCTTCTGACCTCTGTCGCCTACTATGGTCCTTCCGACCTCCATCAACAGACAACAGTCTTTATGACCCCGGTCTTCTACCAACTACGGTCTTTCTGACCTCTCTCTCCTACCTACTACGGTCCTTCTGAACTCAATCACCTACTATGGTCCTTCTGACCTCCATCGCCAGACAACGGTCTATCCGACCTCTATCTTATCGACTATGATCGTGCCGACCAAACAAACATGTCTATATTGTAACTCCCACCATGTAGGAATCCAAATTGATTTTGAGAAATATTAGTATCACGCCGCAACCTATGTTCCATAACTCGCTCCCATTGTTTTAAAGTATGACACATTAACTTAATACCTCTATAATTCGCACAATCTTGTGCATTCCTTTATTCTTAAAAATAGGAATTAACACACTCATTCTCCACTCATCTGGCATCTTCTTAATCTTCAAAATAGTATTAAAAAGTTTAGTAAGCCATGAAATTCCTTCATCTCCTAAGCATTTCCACACCTCTATTGGAATATCATCAGGTCCAACAGCTTTTCCACCCTTCATTTTCTTTAAAGCCTCTCTAACTTCAGTTTTACTAATACGCCGATAAAAACATAAATCTTTAATTTCATTTAGGGTGCTAAGGTCACTATAATCAATCTTATTTTCACAATCGTCATTAAAAAGTTTAGCAAAATATCACATCCATCTTTGTTGAATATCTCATCCATCTTCCTTATATAACATAAAACATAAAAATACTTTAATGATTCATTAATAAAGAATAACAATGAAATCAATTCACTTAAAACCAAAGCGAAAGAAATAGATCAAATTGTAATCTAAAAAATAATTCCTAAAAATTTAAGTCATTGAATAAAAAACTGAATCAGACCAATTGGTTAAGTTTGATTTGATTTGTCATAATGATTTTACTTGGTTTTAAATATAGATTGACTTGAAATCAAACTAAACTGTGCACACCCTAAATTTGCTTAATGGATTTACCTTCACAAATCATATTCCAGTTTAATTACTGGAACTAATAAATGGGCCTTACTCAATAGAATTTCAAATTATTTCAATAATTTATTGATAAAACTGCACCGTAGCCTAGACAAAATCTAATCTTTTGTACGAGCAAATAAAAAAGGTATAGTTTTTACTCCGACCGATTTAGCCTCGTACTCAAAAGTATTAATAATTGAGGTTTTCATCCACACAAAATAAACAAAGTGATAAACTCGTTGATTTCTGCTAACAAATGGGACAGATGAACCTGCAGACTATTGTCGCAAATAAGTTAAAGCAGACTTAAAGATCAGAGAATCTACTAGGAAAAAAAACTGTAATAGAACAGCTTAAATTCAGAAAAAAAAATTATGAAAGAATAATATATATCAGAATAAGTTTAAATACTTTTAAATTTATAGAAAAATTAATATAATTCATAATATGATATATTAGCATTAATCTCAATGTACTCATAGTCTCATAATATTGCAAATTGCATCAAAATATTTTTATGCAATTTTTTTTCCTCAAATAAAACAATGGATTTTAAGAAATGAATGATTCTTGAACGCATCCCTCCAATATAGAAACCACAAAACAGCCATTTGGTACAATTAAAAAAAAAGAATAAAAAAATATTCACGTGAAAAGATTAATAAAAAAAAGGTTGAAAATAAAGCTAAATCGACTAAAGAAAGATTGAAGAGTTATTCTTTTTTAGGGATTTTGTCGATCGACGATTTGTTGCTACAAGTTTATTGACCAATCATACACAGGGAAAAGGAAAAGCTAGTTTGATGTTACTAACACTTTAAAGAAAGCTAGCTCCACTGAAAACCAACGAGAAGAACACTTCTAAAAGCTGCAGTACGTCTATTGTTTTCATTGTCTTCTTTAAATCCATTGCATTTCAAAACCGAACTGCAGTACGTCAATAGAAACAAAATCACAAGTACAATACAACAGAATTTTTCAGTAAAGGTACTAATGATTTATTGAAGACATGATGATTACACGACTTGATCGCACTCTTGCAAAGAAGCTGAATTACACTAAATATAACTGACAAGACTATTATCTTTGTGAAAGTTGGAAGAAAATCCATAAGAATATTTCACAATAATCGAGCAAAATATATCAATATCAACCATTCATTTGTGCAGATTTTTTGTCTTGATCCATCCCGAATTGTACTTCAGCAATAAACCTTTCTTTTGGAAGTTAAAAGCCACCAATAAAAAATAAAAAAACTAACGGCCGAAAGCACTTTCTAAAGAAAGATCAAACAAGGGGAGGAAAAATCTTTCATACTTTGCCTCTAATGATACGAATAAAATGATCAAGATATCATAGTACATGTTTCGTGGGGTATTATGATTTTGAAAGTAAAGAAGCTTGACAATCTCTATTTAATTAAGAGCAACACGCTGATAGGTGCACCATTGATTCCTTTCTTGGATGATTCAACTAAATTCTGACATGGGGCATGAGCATACATATTAGAATAGGACTCATCAATTTTGAGCCAAAAAGATTTGATTTATGGTCAGAGGATTAGCTCTTTAAATTACACCAATATTGAATATTGAGAAAACATCATATAAATTAAAATTTTCCACAAAAGTTTTTCTGAATCATGGGAATTGTGGGCTTTTTTTAACTTGTGGGGTACCACCGCTGTGATTAGGGTTATATTTGAATAAAAACTTGGCTGGCATTAGGATTTGGAATGGATAGGGTGGAGGAGATTTCCTCGATTTTGAGGGTGGCCTCAGGCCTAAAGGAAAGAGGAGGAAAATAGAGGATATCAAAAGGTTCTGAGAGAAATAGAGGATTTCAAAAGGATATGAATGAAACAAGAACAAGAAGAGGTAGGTAAGGCAACGAAGGAGAGGAAGCAAAGGGGTGGCAAGCATGAACCCCAGCAAAGTACGTTAGCCACCAAGAGCTTCCAACTTCTTCAAGGCATATCTACCCAACAAAATCCCCATACAACAATGTTTTAACTAAGCATGAGTTTCACAGCTTGGACATAGTGTTAGTTTGCTATGATCTGATTCATTCTTCAACAACAATATTCTTTATGTTCTTAAAAACATAATTTCTTCTTCTCAGCATCAAGACGTTTGTTTCATTGACCCTCAATTGCCTTTCAACGACGGGAGATGTTGCACTAATTTTCACTTGAATAACTAGTCGGATATGGGTTAAAAAGAACTTTGGTATATCATTAAGACCCATTTGATTTAAAGCAATGTCATGTTTGAGATGTTTGACTGAGATATCTTAGTTTAATAATAAACTGGATGATGCTCTCAAAATTAGACTTGACCAAGTCACTAACCAATCCTGGTTGGATAACTTCCCTAACTCCTACAATCGGGTTCTTCCTCCCAACTATCCTAATCATTCACCTATTATTACTTTTGTTGATGCCTAAAGTATTAGTATCAAAAAATAAGAATCTAGATACATCCACATTAGGGGTGTGAGACAAGCAGATCCGTGAGGCGGCTCAGGCTCAACTTTATAAATGATTGTAACAAACTGAAATTTCATAAAATAAAATTATTTGAAAACATGAAAATCTACATTGCAGCTCTATGGTGTTGTGCTTGCAAACGCAGTGGCACCGATAACGCGCCACCGCAATGTCGAAGCCTTTGTTTTGTAATAACTTTGGATTCAGCATACAACGCAACAGCACTGTGGTTTCGACTGCCATGGTGCCATGCACTAAAAAATATTTTTACGTATATTTAATATAAACATCACTGAACACCATTCATTCCCCTCATTCATTTGGCTTGCCAGGTAAGAAAAAGAGCGAAAGAGAGTAAAAAGAAGGGGAGGACAAGAGAGAGAAGAGAGAAATATGCTCGAGATATTTTCATACGTCAGATCTGTTACAAGATTTCTTCTTATCATTATAGATAGCTTGAATCCTACCTTTATTTTCCGTGTTTTGTGTTCTATGATTTTAATCTTAAAAAAATGATAAAAATGTATTTTCTCCCTATTTATCGAATTTTTATCATGTAACTTTTCGTATGTGATAGATATAATTTTTATGGACATTTTGACAATAATATTATTGAATTTCACTTGATAAATTGATAGTTATGATTTTCTGAAATTAATAAATAGTATACTGATTGTCATACATTTCATAGATTGTTACATGATTATTATATTTCATATATGATATTGAATTGCACAGAGAAACTTATACGACCGATACATGATGAATGAGGCATTTGCATGTAAGCAAAGAAAGCTGGTTGTGAACATTATAATTAATACATGTTGACTATTAAAATGATAAATCCTATACAAAAGGGCAAGCCGACAGTCTTTTCTTAAAAATAAAGATTTGGAGTGTAATCATGGATGTTAGCCTGGAACAAAATGACTTATTAAGCCATCGAACTAAGAGTGACAACTCTATATTAATTTATTGAAAATGTTTGATGAAATAAATAATTGATAATAATTGAAAGATATAGAGATATGATTGACCAATGATGGCAGTTTGATAAAACAGATGGATGGCATATGAAAGAATGAAATATCACTTAAAAGCTAGATATCCCGCTATTCTGAATAAATTCATATAGCATTGATGCCTACATTGACATGCATATATAAAAACATTTAGAGCCAGATACATATATATTGCATAAGAATATTACTCATAGAAATGATAGAAATTGAACACACTAATGCAGTATTTACATGTGACTGTAGCATTGATAATAGTGATAGAAGCATTCATGATTTATATATAGCAGACAATGAATACAACTGATACCACTGTACCTGAGACTAAATTGATTATCTTGAAACAGACAATAGATCCTCTAATAAACTTCTAGTAAACAGAAAATGAATTTATCTATAAAAGAATTTTCATTGACCATCAAAAGATATATACAATATTTACACTATGGTACATTGCTACAAATTTAACTTAAATAACCAGCTATGACTGTACAAAAATCAGAAAATACTTATACAAACTCACACATATCAAATCCTGGATGCTCAATTACTCAACAGGTTCCTCTTTTTCTGACCTGAAACAAAATGCATATTAGGTGTGAGTCAACACAGCTCAACAGATCATACCCATCAATCTAAATTTTAAATATTTTACTTATTATACATTTAAGTAAATTTAAAACAATTTATCAAAAATAGATAACATAAATAAACAAGCACTCCATATATCAGAACAGAAAATAATAGATTTCCCTCAGACCCTTATATTCCCATAAGAAATAAGAACTTATAACTCTTTATGCTCGTATATCAAAAAAATAAACCCTTCTAACTCCCAATATTTAGCACATAATAGATATTAAAAAAATTCAGGAACATGGGACTACATATGTATTTAACGTCAGAACAAAACTTCCACCACACATTAAATCTCACTAGAATCACACATTTAAGAAGATAAGCATATATATACCATTGCACTGCAGTAAAATAAATGAAAATAAACAAAATTCATAATTTCACATAATGCTTTATTGGAAGTCAAAAGATTAAACTACTAAGCAGAATTTTATAGTGTTAGAATATTACTAGATTATCAATGAATATTTAAAACACTATTTTGAAGTGTTAATTGTACCGCAACCTTATTTTTGGAGGTCAGAATTAATTTTTAATTTGTAAAATACCACACATTTTTCAGTCTACTCGATAAAAATTTTCCAAAAAATACTAAATATATAGAATTGTGATATATATAACATACAAAAAGTTACACGATGAAGATTTTACGAGTACAAAGTTATTATCATTTTGGCTCTAAAAATTTAGAAATTAAAAATTAAATTAGGAAAATCTGAAAATTCTTATATTTTTTAATACCAAGATAGGTGAAATATAACATATCCCAATTCGAACAAAATTTTGAATTGGGCCAACAACAAAAATTAGATTGGAGATGCCCAATATCTAGTTTTCTCTCTAGAATTTCTCTCTCTAAAAAGGTTGAAGAGGGGTTATTTAATATTTTGATAAATGAAATGAAAATGGTTTTGGATATTTTTATAAAAAAAATTGACCTAGCACCACAACGCTCGATCCTTCAACGTCGTAGCGCACTCTACTAGAGAGCACAGCATTGTAGTGTTAGTTCAAATTTCAAAAATCGGCTAGAGAGCTCAATGTTAGTCTGTATGGAATCTAATTGTGACTATTAATCAAATTGTATTGTTGCCTCGGACCACAAATCAATTTCTCATGTTCACTGAGGGGTGTAGGGTGTTCTCCCCTGCTTGGGCTTGAAAAAAACATTAATACAATATCCTAGCACTGCATATGCAAGCACCTCAGCGCTATGTACCCGAGCTGCCCAACACTATTTGCTAGGAGAAATGACAAAGAGCAAAGCGCCACAACACTCTAGCTTCGGTGCCACAGCACTGCGGGCTTGAGCACCGCAGCATTTTTAGATGGACCGATGACAGAGTCTTGAGCGCCACAGTGCTCCAAATTGGTGTAGCAACGCTTCGAGGCAGACTGAATAGTTTTTTTTTTCTCATTTTCTGAAGGGTGGCATCCCTTGGTGTTATTTACTTGACTTTTTCTTGTGTTTTGTGAGAGAGAATGGTGTAAAGAGATAAGAAGCAAGGAGAGAGTGAGAGAGAAGAGATATATACTTATTTCTTCCAATTTTCATAGTGGACTTCTTAGTATGGTGTGATTCCATGGTTCTTTCCCAATTTTAGGTTTTTCATGTTAAATCCCGGTGTCTTTTATGTTACATTTCTATTTTTCTTGTTTGTTTCGTTGTAGTGTTTTACTTCCACCTCAACACTCAATGTCGCAACGCTCTTGAGAAAAACTTTCAGATTTTCATATACATGCAGACAGCTGGGACATACTTTTCGAATAAATTCAAATATATACATGCACACAGAACACTCACAGACACCTGAAAAAGACATGAATGTAGAAATTTTACATCATTGATCTTACTAGATTGAGTTGAAATAGGTGCACCTGTGCATGGACTCAGTAGTGGTACAAGGGGTCAAGACCCTACGGAGTGAGGTGATTAAAATCTTCAGGTTTTCTTTTATTTCTGCATTTTATTTTATTATTTTCAATTCAGTAGCCTCGTGAGATAGATTGATGTTGTAAGTGATCTGCGGACTATTATAAATTAGATTTTGATAAATAAAGATGGTAATATATTTTGATGTATAGAATTGCTTCTTTTGGCTTTTCTTTTAATTCAAGGAAAATTAGAGACTCTGGTAGATTGATTAAGAAAAGAAATAAACAAATCTTTCAATTTAGGTCATAAGGCATTATAATGGCTCATGAGCCGAGCTCGATGAGCTAATGAGCCAAACTTGAGCAAGCCCTAATATAATTCTTTAGCTCGTGAATCGGCTCGTTTAAAAAATATTAATAGAAAATACACTTAAAATAAATTGATACTTAGGATTTTAAATACAAAATTGTTAAAAATATTTAAAAATTGTCACATTTTCTTATATTAAGTGATTATTAATTTTCGATTAATTTCTCATTTTTTAATCACACTATTATAATAATTACTTGAATCATAATCATTTTTTCCTTTCATAATAAATGATCCGGCTCAAACTCGTAGAATAAAGCTCAAGCTATAGCTCTAACTTGATTACTTAATCAAGTTCAAATTCAAGCTCAAGCCAGGGTGGCTCGAGCATGATTCAACTCATTTAAAACCTTAATCCACATCAAATCCTAGAATTAATCTCATCAGGGTGATCATTGTTGACCTAGTTTTTGCTCAAACTCCTGGTCAAAAGAGTTGACTTGGTTAAATTGACCAACGCAGGCCCTGAGACCACTTCTACTGAGTTCAGTGGGTCAAGCCCAGTCTGTGGAGCCCAAACCCAAGCCCTGGTCAACCTGGGTCGACCCAAATTGACCCAAATGCTTTATTTTGATTTCAAATAAGTTTCAGAGCTTCCCGAGTCCAGATCCAACCTCTTTTGGACTCAGTGGGCCAAACTCAACCCACTGGGCCCTGATCCATGTCTTGGGTCAACCTGGTTGACCAGGTCAACCTAGGTTGACCCATTTAGCATAAGGGAGCTCAATTTAAATTCAAATCAATTCAAATCCTTCTTTGGCTCGAGCCCCCATCCTCCTTGACCTCATTGACTATGTTGACTAAGTCAAACCTTGACTTGGTCAAACCAAGTCATAATTAGGTCAATTTGACATATTTAAATCAAATTAAACATATTTAATGGATTGAATTCATTCCCTTTACTCCTGAATTCAAATCCCGACCTCACCCCTTGGTTTTCCCTCCTAATCATCATAGGAATGATCCTAGCCGTCCATGATAGGTCTAGGGGCTTTAAATAGGAAAAATTAGGGTGTTTTATAGGACCTTTTCTTTGCTCTCACCCTAGACTTCCTTGACAACTAAGATTTCGTTTGAGATCTCCTAGAGATTCCTATTACCTTTCCCGACCTAGGGCCGCCGCCAAGACCCCACCGGTCACGATCCTCTGGTGAACCCGAGCCTTGAAACCTTCCAAGCCTTGTTCCGACCAATCCAAGGCAAATCAAGACCCGAGTTCAACTAGGAAAAGATTCGTGGACAATCTACAAGCTCAACAAACCCAAGATCCACTGAATCCATCCATTGGATTAAGGTAAAACCCTAACCCTAGTCTATGACACCTAGATCTAAATAACTTTCTATTAAGCGCGTTTCATACCGCGAAAAATATCCCCCACGAATGCTCTTCATACAAATGATCTATGGTTAAAATTTCATCCAATTCGGTTGAGTCGATTGAGAGAAAGAGGCATTTTTTGTTTCAAGGGTTTCGGTTAAACTATATTTGAACTGCCCCTTTCTCTGAGCCATTGATCGCAGGATCAACGGCTTTGATCCCGCTGCTCCGCGGACTTGAAAAATAGCGGATCCGATCACGCTGTTCTTCCCCTCGTCCGACGGGATCTTAGCCGCTCGTTTCAAAACAACGAAAATCCAATGGCCAGCATCGAAAGAAAGGTTTCTTTTAGCTTTTGGGATGGGTAAAACACATTGGGACTTTGACCAATTGGAGTTTTCTGCCTTTTCTGCACTTGAAGAAGTTTTACATGGTAGATTCGAAGATGTTAGAGGCATTATTGTGGAAGGTGTCAATAAAAATGTTCGTAATATTCTTCATAATCTGCACAGTATACCGAAGGATATTGATAGGAGCATGGGTTCTGAAGATTCTTCTTTTTTTAGTAAGGCCAATAATGTGATTTTTCATTGGGTTAGTCGTAATTGTAATAAGTTAGCGAACTATTGTGCTAACTTAGCTTTTTCTTGTGATTTTCTTTGGGATTTGTATTGTGAGAGTGAACTTCCTTCTTCCTTTTGTAGTTTATTAAAGGAAGAATGTGATAGTTTTTATCACTCTTAGTAGCTTGTATCTAGGTGTCTTTTTCCTTTCTATGCAATATTAGCATTCTTCAAAAAAAAAAAGCATCGAGAGCCGACGTCGATTAGTAGAGTTGTCTGTGGCCCGTGATTGCGGCATCATTGTTGCAAACATTAGCTAGTGGCGTAATGATTGCGTCGCCTCCAATGATTGCTGCGGTTTTGGGCAGACCAATTCGAGCGCACCACCTATCTCCCTCCGCTAATTTGACTGTTTAATTAATTTTAATTAGGCTCCAGTATTTTTGTTTCCTTCCTTTGGTGGCCAGTAGATCTCTCACTTTCCTATTTTATAAATTGATTTATTTTTAATTACATTATTTTCAAAAAAATTTATATTTATGGGTATTTAAAATATTTTAAAATTATATATATTATAAACTCCTAACTTTGAGAGATCTACTTCTGAAATTTTAAACATATATTGTGTATATAAATAGTAGTCATGGGGGGAAGCATTAGTGGGTGGTTAAGTCCCAATCATTCACTAATCGCATCGATAAGCACGCTTACTCTTTCTTTTATTGTCTTATACATATATAGGATGCACGAGCACTTAGCCTAAACCCTCCTAGATCCTAGGAATTTGTGTGTTTATTTATTTATATGCTC